AGACGTTGTGTAGAGTAAAGCATGTACACTACTCAAAACCACTCACCGAGACGCGCAGAATTTTCACCTTTGCACTGGAATTCCACGTCGTAGGACCCCAAAGAAATTTTCACTACTAATTTGCATGCATTTCACTGACTTGCTTGTCAACACCTAATAGAACATTTGTAAAAAATAATAATTGGTCCTCAGTCTGTATCTGTTTCTGTATCAGTCAGTAGAATCTCGTCATCTGAATCAAAATTTGTTTAAAAATATGGAAAACTTTTTATGAAAGATGATTAAAGTTGACGTGTATTGAAAGAATTAATTATAATAATAATATGAAGTTTGGTAAACACAATTTATGGTTAAGGAAACAAAACAATTGAAATACTGTACATATTATATTACACTATGTTCATCAGCATAATAATATCTTCACGTAATTAAACTTGTTTTAAAATTGATGTAATTGAAAAGTTACTGAAACACAAAAATTGATTCTAATTTTTTTTAGAATTTTTGCATTTTAAAAATGTGTCTGTTTTGGTGGTACGGTATTTGACAGAGGTGTCATTATGGTTGAAGTAAGACATATTTTAACAATCGGGTTAAAAATCAAATTTTCATCAATGCAATTTTGATTTTTACTTTTATGACAGTTGCACTGTTAATAGCGTAAATACAGTATGAACATTTTTTGATTTGGTAATAATACATAAATTTATTTCTTGATGTAATTTTAACATGAAAATCTAAAACTAAATTTTTTTGTTCTGTAGCAACTAGCTCCATTTGTGATAGATGCCATGCGTCGTACAGCTCGGATCCACAACTTATCTGGTCCTCTAGTGTTTGGTCAAGAGTGGGGAGACAGTGTCGGCCCATTAGATGATCCAAATTATAGACGACCCGTGCCTAATGAATGTACAGTAACACGTCGTGAGACGATAGGACCACGTACAGATCCACCAACCGTTAATGGGCATAGATCTGGTGTATGGACAGTTCCTAGTATTAATAGTATTCCAGACTGTTCTGGGAAACCTGGATCAGCTACGTCAGGTAAGGAAAAAAAGTGGTGGTGAAGATCTAAAATTTTGTACCCAGTAGTGATTAATAAACAGGGTCTTTGAGACCAAGAGCTGCAGTGACTTTCATGTAATTTTGTCACCATGGAAACCCATTAAAATATTCATTTTAATAATAATCACAAAACATCATAATTTTCTTAGATTTGACATGTTTTCTTGTTAGCATTCATGCATATTCTGTGATAATTGTCATGATTTGTTATTTCCATCTAGGATCTACTGGAACACTGACGTACGATGGTCGTTATGGTGGACGGCATCTCCATGAACGTGACCTCACTGATCGCAGGAGACCTCTAGAGTTGGAAGTCAGACATGTTTCAAGTCGTTATAAACACATCTATGGACTCTGTGAATAAAGAGAAAAAGAACTTTTAAAATTGAACTTGCCTGTAACATTGACTTAAAATTCAGTTACAAAACGTTCAACTTTTATCAATTTGTGTTTACTCTTATAGTTTGTTTTCTTTTTAATATGCAATGTTTTGTTTGAAACAAAATATTAGTTTCTGCTCTGAGAAAGTCAAATCAGTGATATACTTGTAAATAGATAAAAAGTTTAAATTTGTAAATTGTGTTCCAAATTTCTTTCATTTTATGCAAATTATGTCATTAGAGAAGATATGATTGGATGAAAATAATCATGTGATGTGGTTTATCAGATGTTTTCTTGTGCATTCTGGGAAATATATGCAAATTATTTCAATAGTTTCTACAGCAGTCAGAAGACACAAGAGTTCAACTTTGTTTCATTTTTGTGTGGATCCAGTAATATAGTCCACTGAATTTATTGTGAAGATTAAAACTGCTCAAGCCAATAAAATTAAGAAAAAATTGTTTCTAGTCTATTTGTTTTCTGATGTTGATGTCCTTAGACTTAGTTTCTTTTATTTTTGATATAACACTCTGATCAAAAATCGTAATATGACCAAAAGATGAATATTTTTCCAAATCATGGTATATGTGACATTCTATATAAATGATTTTACACATGGTCTTTCAATTCCAATCAATACACTAATACAACACTGAAATATAGTCTTGTGTAAAGTTGGAATAAATATTCGAAACCTCTAGATTACAGGAAAGTTTAATTTCTTAATTACTAAAATGTTATAATTATGTCTTCTAATTAATTATTTTTTGTGATTGACTTTTCTAAATTCAGAAGAAAAAAACACGGGATACTCAAACTATGCATTTTGCCCATTTTCCAATCCTAATAGCCAACTACATATGATTTAACACTATAGGGAAATTGCAACATAATTGTTTCCATGGCAACACATTTAGATAACTAATTTTTATTTGCTTCTTGTCAATTATTTTAATTGAAACTTTCACTCAGAAAAATATAAAAAATTTTAAAATTTGAAATATGATATGTTCTGTAAATTGTTGTGTAAAAGCAAAGTTCCATGATCCATTTATCTTTTGGAAACACCACAGTTGTCGTGTTCGATTTGAGTCCCATGCTCCCTTTACAACAGAAAATTAACGTGTGCAACATACAAGTTCAATATTAAAGATTCACAACATTTTTAAGCGCATCTACTCTATGGTATACCGGTAACTACCAATAGAGGGCGATTTGCACTTCGCTTAAAAACAAAAGCACGCGTCGTGCCTGGTCCTTGGGTCGCTATTTACACTTGCTGTGTACTACCACCTGGTACAAAACTGATTATTAAAGTATCTCTTTATCTTCACGTTATATAAGCTTGTTTGGATTCTGGAATGCCGCCAGCAATTTTGTAATAAGAAGAATTGTCAGAGGTAAGCGCAGCGAACTATCGTACAATAGGCAGTTGTTCTCACAAAGACACTTCATTAAAATATACTAGTAGCTCCAGTTTCCCGTTGTGTCATAGCTGTGGCCCGTAGTGTATAACATGTACATATGACAACCGACGTCCGCGATGTCTGGATATGATATGAGGCATCTATGGTAGGACTATTTATCATAATTAGTGATAGCCGTAAAGCAACATCCGACACAGAGCTCACAATTCGCTGACTAAGTGCTACACCGCGGTGGCTGCAGCTCGGCAAGCACAAATGCTTCTAACGCTCAATACAATCTTCAAATGAACGGTTAAAGTGAAATGCACACCCACATATACAAACTTATTCAGAGAGGCGTATTTACACGTTTTTCAATAAATTGTACTCCCAGGCAATATATGGATATTGACTTATAAAAAGTTGGGGTTCACCAGCCTAGTTTCTGAGAAAAGGATGTTTGTATTTTAGTGGATAGTGGCCATTCTGTCAGTATTATAACGCTTTTACTACATGTTACTATGGCAGAGATCTCAAAATAGGCTGGTGACATCAGATATTGTTAAACATTGGGTACTTTTTGTTCTTCTCAATTATTTCAAAAGTCTGGGTTTTAAAAAGTGGCAAAAAAGTAATCTTTTCATAACAACTGTGTTATATGGAATTGTTCTAAAAATAGCCATAAGCAAATAAGTTTCTCAACTTACGTCACTGCAACACACAAAAGCATGTTATTTATGGCAATTCTTTTCAAAAACTATGAGTAGGCTTCTACCCTAAGCGTAAACTTAGACCAATCACAAAGCCTTGACGAATGAATATTATCGGAAAACAATCCCATGAGGTTTTTGGTGGCAGTGGAGGAGTAAATAACTTCCTGTTTAATACTCAAACTCATCAACTCAGAAGAATATTATACTTGATTATATGCATCGAACCCAGTGGTTTGCTGAAGAGATTTGCAAAATATTTATATTACATGCAATACTATATAGTACTATGTGATTAAATTGGTGTTTTTGGATAAATTTGATGTTCCGCGGAGGAATACATCTATTCTCGTAGCGGAAAACACGACTGAGACTCGTAGGAAATGGGTGCGTTACCAAACGACTTCTACAGGTAGCGACAACTTGAATATAATGTGACAATCTACCATGCTGAACTTTTACAAATATTTTCATGACATTTTCTGATGTACTCTCAAATTATTTTCAAAAAATGCCACCATTTATTGAGTTCAATTCTCATCAAAACTTGGGTGATAACTGACAGAGGTAAAATCTTGTACTAACATGATAGCGCTATCTTTCTTATTTTTTATCTTTATTATTTCTACAATCTCTCATCGATTACTCAAGATATCCCGTCGATCCCCTTTCCACGGCAAGTTTTACAGAATATGTCATATCTATAGGAGGGACGATCATCGATCCTCTCGCCAAATTAATTATTACCAAAGCATGTACATTACCGCTTTTATCACTTGGACCTGAACCGCGAAAATCAATATTTGTATATATTTATAATGTAATGATTCAGTCTCAGTTCCCTGTTAAAATTTTTGTCAATATCCAATCTTCAATAACGGCGGTATCCTATTTTAAAAATAATATACCGTGTTTACTATAAAAAAAAGGCACATCTTCAATAGAGGCGCACATGTACAAACAATCGCATTTGCTGTATATAAATACTACTTTAATATACGTAAGTGTACGCGCTACTAATAGAGCAATTACAGTAATTGTCGCTTAGTCCTCGTTATTATTTCGTATAAACAAGCAATGGATTTACGCGCGGTGTTTGAGTTGGACTGGCCCATTCATGACAATTTTATTGTTGTATATTATTGTTGTACAATTTTGTAGAAACTCTAGCGTTGGTAATTTTGCATCGGACCAAGATTTGAGTAAAAAAACAGAATTATATAATTGTCAGTATAACATGTGTAACATGGCGCTTGCTTGATACGAATGCCATGCGTCGCTTTAAGTCCTCCCTCTCTCTCCACTAATTGAAATTAGAACCCAAATTACCTAAGTACAAACTAGTTTAATTATGCTCAAAGCATATTATTTATTATTATTAGTTATATGTTATTTGTACCCACCCCACCCCGTGACACATATATGCCTGAGTTGAGCTACCCACTACAGGAACTTTACTCTGTATTCCACAATGATGTCCCGGCATGCAACACACTCATTACACATGGAATGGTAGAATATATCCAACTACAAAATTATTTAGAAATCCTGCCAAATCCATACATACAACTTACACGTGTATTTATTCGCTTCAAACAATACATATAAACTAACCACGAAAGTAAACTCCGACGTTATTCGTTCACCACGGAGAAACATCTCTAATACTAGTATACACCCATATTCGTGTTGCGTAGAAAAAAAAAGGACCGTGTTTCCGTCAACTTTGTAATGGTGACACACTTTACGGCACATAATGAAATGTACATCGGTGAGTTTCCACCGCGAAAGGCCGCGTGTCTTTGTTCAAAACACCACATGTTAACAGTATGCGGGAAGAAATCCAACAACTTGCCGAAAACTGATAATAGGTGTGTTTATTACAGCAACATTGTAAATGTCATGACACGAAAGACACCATCAAGAGGCCGCGTAACCATAACAACAAATCCATGCTACTGAGATACGTGTATTGGACTCTGTACACAGCAGGTACGTACCGATCATGTGACTGTTTCGTCATTTCAGTCGTGTTCCCGATATTGTCAGTCGCAGACCCGGGTCGCAGATATATGCCGAGTTAACATTATTAGCGATGACAAGTTTAACGTGATACTTTTAGTAAGGTTGACATTTTAAGCGACAAACTTTGCAAAAACGTGGTAAGTGCAAATTATTGATTTGTGTTTAGTTTGTGTGTTAGCGGGGGTATGCGTTTCGACATGTCGTCTACCTCGTATGGACCAAATATTGAGTGAAAATAACACAGCGTTAGGTAATGTCTTATTCTCTGTTGCGGTTATGTCCTGGAGCGCTGTATCGACTTCAAAATGAACTTATGAAATATCAAGTTTCGTGGCACTGTGCTCGAGACAGCGGAAAATTAAGCAACGGCTATTGCAGACGCGGAACACACGCTGTATCCAAGCAAAGTCGAGTTACCAGTAAATATGGCCCATATGGAATTAGTCCAACGGAAAATAGACAAAGTGACGCTCTTTAGATACCCGCAAAAGGACGGACCCTTCAACAAAAACACTAGAGAAGAATATATATAACTCGGTATATATATATATATACATATATATAAATTAACAACCTAAACTTAATAGCCCACACTGTTTTGTAGAAACGTGTACTAGACTGTAGCTAGGTGAATGAAATATTTAAAAAATAAACAACTTCTTCAAACGTGTGTTTTAGGAAAGGCGTTACACGTTGTCGTACATAACTTAATGATTACTGTAAAATTAAAAATACATATAGTAGTTGTTAGCCGGGAAGGAACTGGGAGGTTCGAAAACTTTTGATAAGAGTAAGGAGATCAGATTTATTAAAAGGAACAGTATATGCGAGTATTAAAGGGACAGTATATGCGAGTATTAAAGGGACAGTATATGCGAGTATTAAAGGGACAGTATATGCGAGCATTAAAGGGACAGTATATGCGAGTATTAAAGGGACAGTATATGCGAGTATTAAAGGGACAGTATATGCGAGTATTAAAGGGACAGTATATGCGAGTATTAAAAGGACAGTATATGCGAGTATTAAAGGGACAGTATATGCGAGTATTAAAGAGACAGTATATGCGAGTATTAAAGGGACAGTATATGCGAGTATTAAAGGGACAGTATATGCGAGTATTAAAGGGACAGTATATGCGAGTATTAAAGGGACAGTATATGCGAGTATTAAAGGGACAGTATATGCGAGTATTAAAAGGACAGTATATGCGAGTATTAAAGGGACAGTATACGCGAGTATTAAAGGGACAGTATATGCGAGTATTAAAGGGACAGTATATGCGAGTATTAATAAAGGGACAGTATATGCGAGTAT